TTGCACAAGCTTACTATGATTTATATGATAATTTGAGTGATGCTCCACCTGATCAAAAAAATTATTTTGGTCTTCGAGATTATTATTCACTGATCAAAAGTATTGTTCGTAATTTAATGGAAACAAAAGAAAAAGTAGATATCTATGAAATAATTCGACGACAACTTAAAGTTAATTTTGATGGTATTCTTGATGGTTCATCACTTTGATGAGAACATTTTTGTCAATATATTAAAAGAAAACATCTCTTTAACGATTATATTTGTCCATCATTTAATAATCTTCTTGATCAAGCAATAAAAAATCGATCCAGTCGATATTTAATGTTGATTGCTGATAGTGAAAGTACTATTGATTATGTTGAACATTTTATTAATGTTCATCAACGAAAACATCATATAAAAGTACGTACTATTGTCGGTAATTATTTTTCAGATGATCTACTTCGAGGTAATACCTATTCTGAACATTATAATTATCGAATCTTAATGGATATTATTCTTTATGCTGAAACAAATATAACATTAATTATGCGTCAAATGGATCATCTTTATGATAAGCTTTATGATCTTTTTAATCAAAATTTTGCTATTTCCGGAAGACAAAAGTATTGTCGAATAGCTTTAGGTGCTCGCTATTATCCGCGTTGTTTAATACATGATAATTTTTATTATATAGTTTTTATTCATAAACGAGATGCAGATAAATGTGATCCACCATTTCTTAATCGTTTTGAAAAACATCTCATTGATATTCAAACTTTAATTCATCCTCGACATCAATTAATATATGATGAACTTTATATTTGGTTAAATAAATTTTTACCGAAAAATATTGGAAAAAATTTTCCACTTTTTGAACATTTATTTGTTGATTATAGTCAAGATCGACTATATTTTTTAATTATGGAAATCTTTGAACAACTTAATATTTCAATCGATGAACAAAAAACTGATGAAATTATAAAGCATTGTCAAACAAAATTAATGCGTACTAGTTCATTAGATTTACCATTAGTACTTTCATTAGAACCAAAGTGATGAGAATCAAACTTTGATTGATCAATACTATATGATATTCATCGATCGTTTACATTTGCAACAATGGTACAACAAGCACTTGAGAATGATCATATTTCTCCACAGATTATTTACACTTATACACAAATCTTTTATCGAATCGAAACATTACCAAATGATGTTAAAGAAATCAATTTAAGTACATTTGAAACAGAACTTGAATTAAAAAATAAAATTAAAGATCATTATCAACAATCAAATACGATTCGTTTACTTTTAATTCGTGTTGATTATCATAAAGAACATCAACATATTCTTTCATTAAAACATGTTCTATTGAATGAAAGTATATCTAAAAGTAATCGAGATATATGGCTTATACTTTATTTACAACGTAATCTAATTCATCAGACTAGAAATGATATTTTGTTTAGTGATTGAAAAACTTCATTCATTTCTTAGTTTCATTCGTTGTCTTGCTGTTCTAATTATTATCAGATAAAGCTTTTGATATGTTCAAACAAGGATTTAATGAAAAATTTGATTCGTGTCAACCAATTCATCAATATGTTATTCAGTTACGAAATTTAATTCGAGCGCAAGGATCCATTGATCAAACATTAACAAAACTTGAAATCGAATTATTAAAAGATTGGTTAGCCAATAATGAAGATTCTTATGTTGAAGTTTTAATTTTATTGATCGAAAATTTGATTTAATATCAATATTAAAACGAAATCATGGAAAACTTCCATGCATTGAATCATTCATTGAATAGTATCGATCATGTTTCATATAAATTTGAAAGATTATTAGTCAATCAAATTCATATAAATTTTATGCGATCAACTTCTGATGATGAAATCGATCAACAACTTATTGATCATTATGAAGATTTTCAAGAAAATCTTTATAGGATACAAAATATGAATAATACAATCGATTTTCAATGGATCTCATTGCTTGCTTGGTTAAAATATTATGCACAGATCTATGCCATTGCTTTAAATAATGAGAGTCATCGATCTGTTATGTCAAGAATAGATCGACTTTTAACTAATGTTGATTCTCCATTCAGTTCAACATTGAAATTATTTATTTTCAAGCAACTTCGACAAATTTCAGAATTAACTCTAGATGATTATTGTGATAGATATAGTTATCGTAATCTTGATTGAATTAAAGATTTTCTTCAACTAGTACAACATAGTCAACAAAACCTTCGTTTACCTATTCCATTGTTTGAATGTCGAGAAGAATTTCAACGCTTTAATCAAATTCTTCATCAAAATGATAAGATTGATGATCTACGTGAATTAGTTCATGAGTGTAATCGATCACAAAATCTTAGTTATAGTTTTCTATGTTGGTTTATTCAATATTATTGCCATTTTATGCAAGTTAACAGTAAAGCTGATGAGAAATTTGTTCATTTGATTGAAAATGATTTACAATACGAAATTATCGAATCATTCACATGGTTAGATTCAAAATTATTTATTTTTTTGTGTAAAATTTTTTGGAATACTTCCTATTTTTATCTTGATTTGACTATGTCATCAATGATATTCATAAGCGTTTACTTGCTCTCAATATTATTGCTGTATCGATCTCTTGTAAATCCCAACCCGAAATGAATTTCCTTCCGAATCTTCTATTTAATAATCAACGCAAAATACCTATGAATTATATACAACATATTTCGAATGTTTGCTTACCTGGTCTTATGATTAGTGCGATCCTATTATGATACAAATGATGCATGTACGAACACAAGTTCAAGATTGTCTAAAAACAAAGACTGATTCATGATGAAGAAAGAGTTATTGTTCAATGTACACAATTTTGTCCTTGGATATTCTTTTTGCAAGATGGCAATGTTTGCCATAATTCAAATATTTGTCCACAATGTCAAAAACCGATTGGTATTACCGAAAACAATATTCTTATTTAACGTGATTCTCCACAAATTCAAATGTCTATTAATGAAACCTTGAAAATGATCGATCAATATAATCAGAGAGTTCGTCTTGGATATCAAAATGTTGAAACATCTGAAAATAGTATGTTCGAAGAAAAACCTGAACATTTAAGCCGATCCATATCGTTTCGATTCTTACATTTTCTTACACGAACTCAATTATTTGACTAATCAAGATATAAAATAATATCTTAAATTATCAACTGATGCACATTTTCGTTATCATTTTGAAAAAGACTATGACATTCTCTCTCAAATATTTACAGATAATCAACAATGTTGTATTTGGCTTTAAACTTCTTAATCATCTTGTTAATGATGAGTTTGTACAACAAGCTCCAATAAAAACTAAAGAAAATATTTTTGAGTTTGAATGTATGATTGAAGAAAACTCATTTTGCCACATATTAATTCAATCGCTAATGAAATTATTGATTATAAACAATCATATGCTTAAGTGTTTCATAAACCTCATACTCAACCATCATTGGAAAGTTTTATTAATAAAATTTTTCAAGATGAGCAACAGTATCCATTGTTAAATTTTTTTAATGTAACTACATTTTATAAATTGGATCCTTTGGATGAATTTATCTTTAAAATACAATCAATGCCATATACGAAAAATACATATCCAATTACGACATTTATTCTTCAACATCTTGATGATTATAGTAATATTCAACATATTTATCCTATTGTTATTTTTACCAATTATCTTATTGAAAAATTTAACTATCAAATCAATCGAAATGATGCAACTGAAAAGAAAATTCTCTATTATTTAACTAAAGATAAAGATAAACATAGAACAAATCAACTTTATAATGATTTTTTACATGATTGGTATTCATTAAATTTAAAAGAAATTCATCATGGTAATCAAATAATAAAATTCGAAAAGACTATTTCAAAAGAGAAATTTGCTAAAAGTGCAAGTATAAGTGCTCTTCTATTCAATACATCAAGTAATGAAAGTAATCTTTATCTCACTTCATGTCTCAAAACACGTGCTGGAGTTATAAAACGAAATCGTTAATTACTTTCATGATACTATCGAACTTAGTATTTAAAAAAAGACTGAACAAAAACGTATACCACTCCAATCTATTCGATTGGAACAGATTCTTCATCTTAATCGAAATAGACTGAGTAAAAAGTTAAGTGATGATTGTCTTGTTCTTAATTATCAATATGGGAAAGGGTCGAGATATTATTTATGATTATGATGAAACCGAAATCTATCTACGAAATAGGATCAGTTCATTAATTTTGATCGATACAGATCGATTCCGTTGTGTCAATTATCAATTTGACTTGTACGGAGAAAATACATCGTTGACCAATGATGTTCGTGTGAGAATCAAATAAAAAAGATTATCTAATGATAATCGAAATAAATTACAAAATCTCATTATCGGAATGAATAATGATGATATGCTCATTTATCTTGGTTCACTCAATTATGTTTTTACTTATTTATTGATACAATTCTTTATCGAGAGCCATTTTCTACAGTTCAATTCCAATATATTATCAATTTATATGAAATAGTTGAAGAAAGCGTTTTCGACCGAGCTTTACGTGCTGATGTTAAAGCTGAACTTCAGAAAACAACATTTACTGATGATGAGTGTCAACGTGCCATCAAACAATTTTCACATGATGCATTTGAAAAACAAACTATTTCTCCTTTGTTGAAAAATATTGATAGATGGATTTCGATGCTCAAACGTTTGATGATACGCATTCTAAATACGAATATCGAACTTGATGAACGATTACAAGTCTATCTTGAACGAACATATCTGTGGAGTGATCCTATTACTGATGCTGATCTAGCAACTTTTCAAATTGATAATGATATTTTACATCGACATACCTATGTGATCCTATATGCTTTAGAATGAAAGCAGTATAAGAGTAATAGAGTTCCGTTGCCACAGCATAAAGCAACGATGTCAAGTATTGATGAACAACAACAAGAAGTTCAAGCGCGGTCAACTGCAATCATTAGATCAAGAATCACTCCAAAAGTAATCAATGACAAAAATCGAAAAATTTGTGTATAATATTGTATTCATTTTTTTTCTAAACAAATGCAGATTAAAAATAAAAAAAAACCAAAGAATGGTTGCCCGAATCCATTACAGATCTGTATACTTAAGTTCTTCAGCAAACGGGAACTTAGATGTTGTGTGAGTTCAGTTAGTTCATTATACATATGAGTTCTTTGCTTCACTATTTGGTTGAATAGCCATATTATCATATGGACAATGAAGTGCCTGCAAATAGTGTGCTGAAAGGAATAAAAACCTATCCTATGATGATTGTCGAACAACAATATTTCGTGCAATGCGCACTTGCACTGTATAAATAAACAGAATCACACTGACTAATATTATGATGAGAATGAAGATACGAATTGAAATTCGTTCGTTTTTCATATCGTTCACTAATGGCGGCATTCTAGAAAGAAACAAATAGTATATGGAAATGCATGGTTGCCCTTCTCTGTTAAAAAAGTCTACTTTGAAAAACTTTGCGACGATGATATATAGGAATATAAACTTACTATACATCACAAACACATATTGAATGAGTTTCGCAAAATACAGCTTCGGATTTATCACGATAGCGATATATTTGAACAAAATTTTCGATTTGATCTAATCTCAGATGGATACGCTCTTTGCTAGTCACTATTGAAAATTACTCATAAATAAATTTCAAGTTTCGAAGATCGTGACAACATAAAAATTACATACAGTTAACAATAGTCAGCGATCAATCGCGTCGTCCAAATTTGACTTGGGATGAACACAGTTTTATATAAAACAAATGAAAAAAGAAACCTATCTTTTGAGTAATCGAACATCGTAGATAAAGTTCCAATAAACTATGGACCATGGTTTACTATAACGATGCTTCACATAGTGAAAAGTCAATATAGAATACTGTTTTTAAAAAAATGGATTGAGTGAAACAATCATACTTTGCCTTTTTAAATAGAAAAGGGCAACCCAAAGTGCTCATATCCTTTTTTTTTGTTCTTTTTAGAATATCACAGAAACCGTTTCTTTTTTAGTTATTTATTTATAATACCTAAGAGTGTAATCAAAAAGATAAAAATTTATTTGATTTAGTTGATGAATGAATTCTTTTATAATTAACTATGAACGAAACCTAAACAAATTACAAGTATACAATTGAAGTTTTATATACTCCATAACATCCGCTTGCAATGGAAATGTTAGAATAGATTTTTTGTGAATAAAAACTTTCGATACAATATTTATTCATTCTGTTTGAAAATAATCTACTATCAATGATTCACCACAAATAGACTATATAGAAAGGAAAAAAAAAACAATTCAAATAACATACGCGATCATTCTGCTTTGTACATAAAGAATAACGAACAAACATGTACACGTTTTATTCTTTAGATCATTCCTTCTAGATCAATTTTTATATTAAACATATCATTCGTATCAAGAAACGTAAGTGATAAAGAGAAGAAACAATTTTACTAATATTAGATTTTATTTAGTATGTTGATAAGTACAATTGAAAATTTACCTAATGAAACCTTTTATGAAGTCTTCGATTATTTCGATGCTACTGAAATCTATCATTCATTTTCAAATCTCAATCATCGTTTTCATCAATTAATTAATTCTTCATCACTTCTATTTAAAATAAAACTTGATTATTCAAAATCAAACGAAATCTTCATGAATAATTACCAAAAAATTATACTTTACAATAAAGATCAAATATTATCAGTTCATTTATGGTCAACAGAAAATACTAATGAAATTATTTCATCCATTATTTTCGATTCATCATTTAATTGTCTTGAATCTCTTGTTTTTTATACAATTGAATCAGATGTATTAATTTCAGTTCTTCCAAAATTAACTTATTTATCTCGTCTTTTATCATTAACAATCGATACATGGTCTAATCTAAAAGATCTTGCTGATATCTATCGATTAATTTTCAACTTACCAAAATTAAAATATATCAAATTTACAGCAATGGAATCCAAAGATGACGATATAACTATCTCATTACCAATTGCTACTAGTGAACAAATAAGTTCTATCGAACATCTTATTATGGATCATCCTTGTGCTTTCGACGAACTTATTGCTATAATATCTTATACTCCTCATCTTCGTCGTTTAAAATTTTTGAGTTTGACTAATCGAAATGTAAACATTAGAAGTATTAAACCAATGATATTACCAAATTTAACACATCTTTCTATTCATATATATAAAGAAATATCATTTGATGAATTTGAAATATTTATTAATAAATTAAATTCGAAAATAAAAGTTTTATCATTGACGACAATAGTTGAAGACATGGCTTATCTTGATGCTAATCGATGGGAAAAATTTATTTTAACAAAATTACCTCAATTAGAAAAGTTTTATTTTAAATACAGTGCATATTTTTCAGAAGATTATCAAACTCCTATATATTTTGGACAACGCGATCAATTTATTTCATCATTTTGGCTTCAACGACGATGGATATTAGATATTGAAATTGACTTTGAAAATATAATTTACTCAATCCGTCCATATCAGTATATCAAAAAGAAGTTTTTTATTTTGAATAATTTATTTTAATTTTAATTTTAGAAAAAGATGGTATGAATATGATACACAATATAAGATGATTAATTCTTCTGATCAATTATCTAAATCTATTCGACTTAGTCTAGATGAAGTATGTCCTGAACGATGGACAAAGACAATATTCATAAATGATTATATTAATCATGCTTTAACTATAACACAAATTTATCATTTAGAAATTTATGCAAAAATTTTTTGCGCTAAATTAATGGAAATATTACATTTATTACCCGAAGTTATTACATTAAAAATTTTTTCTTTACCAATTTTACAACAAGGAGATTTATCAGAAGAGGAAATCGAATTTCTTTGTTTTCTATCAAATAAAAATCAAATTAGAAAAATTTGTTTTGAAAATATGAAAGACATGGATGAACTTTTTATGTTATCTTTGATTTGTTCTCGTATTAATCATCTTCAAATAAAATGTGTTAATTATATGCATGCTGAATTATTAACAGGACTTATTTTAACACAAATTAGGAGCGTATCCAATTCTTCACTTCGATTATTATGTTTTTGTATTCCAGAAGCAAATGATGATATGATTGAAAAATTAGAAAAAATGATTGATGTTGAAAATTTACGTTTTGATTTTATGATTAAACATGTTACAGATAAAATTTATTTACAATGGAAATGATTAGTAGATTATTTGTTATAATTAGTCTTATATGATATTGTTTGTTAAAAACTTTTTGAATATCTTGATGGTTAGAAAATATTTAAAGCGTTTTCAAATCTTAATCATCGATTTCAACAACTCATCAAATTTTTATCTCTTCTATTTAAATATAACTTTGATTGTAGTCTTGATTTTTTTCATAAACATTGTTTTGTCGTATATATACGTCAATAACAATTAAAAGGCTAATAATAAACACCGAATACTTTTGTTTCATATATCGTTACCATTACAAAAAAAAGTGAATTTTTCTCGTCATTTGATTGTCTCGAATCACTTGTTACTATTGAAATTCAATTAAAGGGTATGGTAGGTGTGGGTGTAGGTGCGTTTCAATAAGTAATCTACACCCACACCCACACCCCGCAACCCAGTTATGGACAAAAGGAAACAAAATGTTTTAGAATAATTTTCAAGACTAACTTTCGTTCATATCTTAGATGATGACTAAACAGCTGTTTATACGATTTATTCGTAGTTTAGATGAAATAATTAATAAAAAGAATATTTTACGTAAGTAATTTGTTTCGATACAAGACTACATCTCAATTAACCTCAGATTGAAATAATATTTTATACTATTTCTCAAGTTTTTATTGTTTGTAGGCAGATAAATATTTATTCTATGAAAAAAAATTACAATGTATAGAATCATTATCATTGATGCAATTAAAACAACTTATTAATATAATTCATTATTTATATGATTGTCGTGTTATTCATCGTGATATAGGTCTACAAAATTTAATGTTAGATCGTGATAGTAATCATATAAAATTAATTGATTTCGGTTTTGCCATTGCATTTAATACGAATAACAAGGGAGGAAGCGTACAAATAATAGGTCCATTTACATATGCCAGTGAACCATTTTTAGATTTATGTTCAAAATTATCATAATGATCATTAGTAATGCTGATATCGAACAAAGTATGAATGCAATTAAAATATTGCCAGATATTAACGAGATAGTATCAAAGTCATTGCAATTATGGAAAGATACTAAACGTACAAATAAACCCTATTCAAATTTATTGAATTTAATAGACAAGCTGAATTCATGGTATCCATTCGACAAATCATCAGTTTCTGATATTTCAAATGATCAATCAGTTGAATCAGATCAACCGTCAATTTCTAATGCTTCAAAAGACCAATCAGATCAATCAGCAATTTTTGAGGTTATAAAAGATGAAATAGGAAAACTTTTCGATTTGTGAACAATACTATTCATGATTTTTTTCTATATAACATGTTCATGTCATTCATATAAAAATTTCACATAACACTTTTCATTTATATTTTTCCATTCATTTCTTTATTTTATTTTTTTATTTTGATCTTTATCCATATATAAACAATCATAGTCATAAAAAAAAACTAATTTCTTCATTTATTAAAACGCTTTTTTTTTAAGATAAGAAAGCTGTATTCTATAGACGGACATAGTCAATACTAGTGTCCGGGTGTGGGTGTGCTAACCAAGAAGGCATACACCCACACCCACACCCTTACCATGAAAAATTTTTATAATAACAAAAAATCTTACGAACATGAAATCAATCATGAACATAGATTCTAAAAAATGCACTTTCAGAAATATGATTAGCAAAACCCAAATACCTTTAATTTTAATTGAAAATAAGTATATCTAGCCGTGTAACGATGTACCGCAAGGAATAATAGAAAATCAGTAGGAATTCAGTAGCTAAAAGATTCGACCTAATAGAATGAATGCAACGCGAAAATACTGCATATGTAACTTCGTGAGATGAAAGATTCAGAATTAAAGCAAAAACAAAGTATTTCAAAATAACAAACTAAGCTGAACAAGAAGAATTTGTTGAGAGTAATTATCGAAAAAAAATCGATAATTGAAATGAAGAAAGAACAATCGTGATAAGCAAGCAAATGATATGAAAAAATAACATGCAGAGAAGTAATTACTCAAGAAATCGCTCTGACATCTGACCGAAATAAATCTAGTAAATACGATACTCATGATGATAATACGACGATTAAAACAAACATTCAGGTTAAATAAATCAGTTGAAAGATTGAATCTGATGAGAAAAATCTAACAAGCAAACATTAAAATACATTAAACAATGAGCTTCTAGCAACGGAGCCACTATGACAACTATGCATATTTTGCAAATGATCATTATGAAAAAGCACATTAAGGAGTTACAACCATTTGAACAAGATCAAATCAGTTGTATGGTTTATTAAGGGGAGCCCCCTCAGAAAAATCAATTTAGATCAAATTTATTGATTTTGTGATTTATAACTCATTAGATAGAGCAAAGTGTCTACTCTCGAATGCACTACAGTTGATTGATTTTATCATGAGATTTAAAGATATTTCATAGATTTTTCTGAACCCCTCTATTGAAAATAATAAGGTTTTTAAAAACTTATTCTCCGTTTTTCTCAAAATCAATTTTTTCGAGTATACCGTTTACGCGGGCAAACCTTTCTTAATAATGACTCAATATAAGAGTGGTAATTTTTTTTATTGCATAGAAGACAGGTGGGACTAGGTCGTAATAGAGTCCGATTTTTGAATTTCTCTTTTGCTGAAATAAAAAACTTAGATATTTCATTTTTATGAGCACTTTTTTGGCCATGAATTTGAAAATTTTTCGAAAAAGTATTTTTAAAAATCAAATAAAGGGAAATTCAAAAATCGGATCCTAGTACGACCTAGCCTTAGGGGCACTCTACAATTTCATAATCTATTCTAGCCAAGACTAACATTCTCTGAAATTTTGCTTGAAATCGGATGAAAAATAACAAAGTTGGTTTCTGAGAGGGGGGGGGAGGGGCTCTTAAGTAAATAAAAATATTGTCAATTTTATTATGCATATTTAGTTTTTATTTTTAAAATGACAAAAAGCTGTAGCAGTTTCTTGTTATTCTAATTACTAAAAAACTTTCAGATGTTTTAATTCAGTAGTTAATCAAATAGACCAAAACCCATATCTTCACAGTCACAATCTTCCTTTAAGAAAGCGTGATGTTCATATCCTTTAGAAATAATTTTTCTGTCGACTGTTTCATCTTTAAGTTTATTCTGCATATGCTCAGCCATTCGAAGTAACAACGAAATTATTCCTCGCTGATCATCAAATTGTTCAACATCTTTAAGTAATGCAATTTGTTCATCAACAAGAACAATAGCTTCTTTTCTGTGGCCATCGTTCACTAACTGTGCAATTTTCTTATCCATATCAGCAACTATTTGAGTAGCATACATAGTTTTCACACGAGGATCAAGGTGCATAATAAGTGACTCATCTTCTACAAATTTTAATGATAAAGTATTTTTTATCGCTGTCGGTGCACCATTTAGATCATTTGGTTGATTATATCGTAATTCATATGTAAGTACTTCAACTTCAGTATTCGCTGATCCAGAAGTTGTAAATTCACAAAGAACTGATCGTAGATTATCTGAATGGAGATCGCCAAGACTTGCACCAGCAACAATATCTTCATGACCCCATATCTTCGTAACAACGGCTCCATTTTTTCCACGTACTATAAGACGAGCTCGTGATGCACATACACCAAATACACAGACAAGTGCTTTAGTAACAAGAAATTCAATCATTTCAGGCGATGAAAGAAAGTAAAATCTTGATCCACCAGCATCAGCAATACCTTTCATAATGACGCTATCAAAGTCAGCGCCAATCCCAAATGAGTCAGTTATAATGCCTTTAGTATGATATCCAGCGACGAGATTTGTTAATTCAGGGCATGTTTTCATTCCAACATTAGCCTGTCCATCAGAAAAGAGAAACATACGACGCGAAAATCCATTATATACATATTTATCCAGGAGGCCAGCACCTACATCAATACCACCAGACATGTTTGTTGAACCAGCACTTTGAATTTTGTCTACAAGAGGATAAAGATACTGACGAGAATATGCTCGTGCATTTTCAAAGATGATAGATACATCAGCATCATATGCAACAAGATGAACGACATCATCATCGTGAAGAAGATTAAGAACCGAAATCACAGCTTTTTTTGCAAACGTTAATTTATTGTCTGATTCCATGGATCCGCTACGATCAAGAATAAGTACTAAATTCAGTGGTGTTCGTTTGGTTGTTTCTCCTTTGCTTCTTGTTTCAATGTCGAAACGAACTTTTTTTGTATTTAAGACGCCAGAAATAGCATGCGGATTATCTGGAATACATCGAATTTCGACATCAGCTAACTCAACATTGGTTGTCATATTGATTCGGTATACTAGAAAGAAATTTACCGTACATGTCAATAATAAGTTCAAAAATAGATTGAACGTACTTTTAAATTTAATGAATAGTTGATCGTTTTTTCGATAGTTAAGTAGTAGCAAACAAACTGCCTTTATAAAAAAGAATGCATTGGCATTTTATACGTCGAACAAAACACGATAGTGTTGTGCAATATTTGTTTTCTTGAGTCACGTTATTTTACAAAGAAGAACAGAATGTGTTAATCATTGAAATACTATTACGAAATTACATAACCTGAAGATGCAGCGCAAAAACAAACGTGGAATTGAGCACGTAGGTGTGAATAAGCGTCAATGTTAGAGAAAACGTAATCGGAACCATACCATACCTGATGAGGCATTTTACTATGTATTCATGAAGTAAAACTTTTGATACTAACAATAGAGATTTTTGTGTTGATAAGTAGGAAGATGGTATATATTCAGGTCAAATGAAAGCTCTTGCTGCCAAACTAACAAGATTAAAAGATTAGCGCTTGTTGGCTTAGTTAAAGGGAGATATTCGATTTGTACGGTACTCACAATTTGGGTACATAGGAACATTAGGTAAAAGTCATCTTTGCTGTCGAAGGTTCGAAGGGAAAAGGTGTTACGTGAAAGAGCGTAGTTAATAGTTTATGAAACAGATATTGCCAACACTACTCTACACTTCAACACTCAGCGATTTTGATGGGATTTGTTCATATAATGAAATTGTAAAAAAAACATATATATTTGGTCGTTGCCGATTGAGTGTAAATAACAAACAGTCAAATGAATACTTTTTTACTAATTTGATATTAATCAACAGCTAAATATTCATTCTTTCATAATGTTACGAATACAAAACATTTCAGTAGTTTACAAATGAGATACTGTATTCTAAAATCATGCATATTTTTCGTGAAATTCCGTAATGAAATATGTTTATATTGAATTTTTTCTCTTTCATATTGAAAATGGATTTTCAAGAATTCTACCAGTCAGATGTATCTTTTGTAGGGCTATCAAATGAATCGATCTTCTTGAAACTTTACTTGAACTTTTGTGAACTTTTTAAAAAAATACTCCGTTATGGAATTTCATTAAAGGAGAATTGTTTCACAAAAAAAAGGGGCGACGGTTTCACTATTTTTCATTTTAAGAAATAGAACCAAATAACACTTGTATATTGATGGGGATACTCTTGTGAAATTTTTTCTCAGGTCAGAATTTTGAAAGTTCGACTATATAATTTTTGGTGTCTGTGGTAGCTTTCAGGAAACGAAAAACATTTTTGGTCTTCAATTTGAAAATTTTGTATTTGACTTCATAGAATTCATTGCATTGATCACGAATTTAATAATTTTATTGAAATTTAAAGGCTTAATATGAAAGATATGAAGACCTCTCTGATTCAAATCTTCATACGACGATTCTCGAAGTACCTCATCGCCAAAAAATTATGAAGTCGGTTTTCAAAGCTCCTACCTAAGAAAAAAATCTCAGAAGGCTGTCCTCATAAATGCCCAAGTGTTATTTGGTTTCGATTTCGATAAATGAAAAATAATGAAATCGCTACTACTTCTCTTATTCGAGGTTAAACTACATACTAAATGTAGAAATAAAACTGATTGAAATAGGG